CCACAGTACAAGAGGGATGTGGAGCTGCTGGAGAGAGTCCAGCGCAGGGCCACAAGGATGATCAGGGGTCTGGAACATCTGCCCTATGAGGAGAGGCTGAGGGAGCTGGGCCTGTTCAGCCTGGAGAAGAGAAGGCTGAGAGGAGACCTGATCAGTGTGTCTATAAGTGGGAGGCAGTGAGGAGGATGGTGCTGGCCTCTTTTCAGTGGTGGCCATCGACAGAACTAGAGGGAACAGACAGAAACTGAAGCATCAAAAGTTCCACAGGAACTTAAGGAAAAATTTCTTGACAATGAGGGTGACAGAGCACTGGAACAGGTTGCCCAGAGAGGTCGTGGAGTCTCCTTCTCTGGAGATCTTCAAAACCCGCTTGGATGCAGTCCTGTGCCATGTGCTGTAGGTGTCCCTGCGTGTGCAGCGGGGTTGGACTAGATGATCTCTAGAGGTCCCTTCCAACCTTAAGCATTCTATGATTGGGTGAAGGAAAAAAGAATCTGGCAACTTAAAGAGCATGATTTACCATGTTCAGCAGAAAAGGAAAGGGTTTCCAGGCCTATTCCTGCCTACTCGTGTTTTAGAGAAGTTTCATCTTAGACACAGGCACCAATGCTGAAAATTTTAGTGCAGCTTTAGCAAAAGAACAGGGAGAAGGGTGTTTTTTTAGGGCAACAATCTGAGTGATTGTAGAGGAAAATAAAAAAAAAATGCATCAGTACAAGGAAGCTAAAAGAAGTTACGTTTATAGGATACTGTTATCATTGTTTGTATGGAGGAGCTTTGTGTTTGGGATTAGCACTGGGTCTTTAGGCTCTGGAATCTTCGTGTCAACTTGGCAGATCCTTGCCACAGCTGCCGGAGCAGGACGGCAGTTCTTCAGAGCCCTGCCCAGCAGCACCACAGCTAATCCTCTTGCCACCTGCAGAACAGCTGTGTTGGAAGAGGAGTGGAGAGAACGTGAGCGATTGGGTTTTCAGGCGTATCGGGAACTTGTGGTTGTTTCTTCTTCATCACGTCCTAGTATTAGAGGTTTATCCGCAGCAGGAGAAATGGGTAGGGGCTGTCAGTGTAAAGTTGCATGGGTAACTTAAGGACTCCTCCCTGCATTTGCTTTTCTCACATCTCATGTGCTCCGTATTGAACCTTCAGTGTGCTGATTTGGCCCATTAAACCATCAGAAACTTGTTCTTTCTTACGCTGCAGTAGTTTTCTGCCAATTTAATAAGCTGAATGGCCCATAGAGTGTGTGAAGAATGCCCGAGTTGGCTCAAGGATCTCAACAGGAGTCGTGCCTGGGGGTGAGTGCAAGTTGGGTCAGAGACCACCTTTCACAGCAGCAGCACATTGTTGGCTCAGGTCGCCTCATGAAAATCTTGCCCCTTGATTGTGGCTGGTTGTGTCATCAAAATAAATCTTGAAAATTAATGGGCAGTGAAGGTGAAGTGAACATGATTGCTGTGTATGTGGACTTTAAATAATTGGTTTATAATCTAATTAGGAAACATTAGTCTTTCAGAGAGAGTACAGGGAGATTAATAATGTTAAGCAGAAGCAACAAATAAAAAATGTGATCCCTAAGTTCCAGTTCGTGGCTTTTCCTCACCCTACAGAGAATAGTGTCTGTTTTTACTGTTACTAGTAATCTTACTTAGTTTTACATCTCTGTGTCTTCATCCAGAAATAAATCCTCAAACACATGTGCTTAAAGCTAAATGTGGATAGCTGAAATTCTGAGATGAGGAAGTGAATGACGCTAATAGAGGATCACAGTAATCCTGACAACTTTATGTGAAGACCTGTTCTCTTCTACAGTGTTTTTCCCATCACCACTGGGCTGATTTGCTTAAAGTTCACAGTGCGCTCAGGTTGACTGAAGACCAAGTGTTTTCAGGACTCTGGTAGCGTGCTTTGGTTACTGCTATCTTAGGGTTTAGTCTGTTGTGAAAAGCAGTAAATTAAAAAGTTGCTAATGTGTCTCCTGCCTCTCATTCCTTGTGTTTCAGAAAATCTTCGGAAGAACTGGACATGGATAAAGTAACAGCAGCCATGGTATTAACCAGTTTATCCACCAGCCCTTTGGTTCGCAGCCCTCCTATCCGACCCAATGGTAAGCCTTCAGACTAATGCCTGGGAAAGGAGCGTGACTAGGTTGTAATAGAAAATTAAAACTAAGGAACAGAGGACATAAGATACAGAGCAAGAATCTATAGTCTTTATCTGTATGAGTGGTAGAAGTTCAGATGGAAAAGAGAGCAATCGTTGTGATTGGTTGGCCTAGATGACTAGGAGCATTGGTAGTGGTGGCACAAGTGGGAGGGGTTGTCTTCTGGCAGTGACTCTTGCCTGCTGTGGCAATACTGAGATCTGCTGTGCCCTAGTAGAGTGCTTTGCTGCAGTATTGGCAGAAGTGAGAACAAACCTCTTCAGGGACTACAGAGCTGCTCCAGGTTATGAACAGTAGGTGCTCCTCTGTGGGCTGAAGTACAGGAATGAGGAATTAGCTCTGTAGAGGGTTCTCTAATCTCACCAAAATGCTCACTTTCCAGTTTATGTGCATTTGCATATCCATAGTGAATAGAATAGCCATTCTTGTCCCTTCGCCACTGAAATGTGATCAGAGAGCGCTCAAGACTGCGAAGAGAGAGCGCGGTTCCTGCACAGGCGGCAGCCCTAGGCCGAGCGGCCACGCGCTGCAGCTCTGCAGCGACACCCGTCCCTCTGCACGGGTGCAGGCTCAGATCCTCAGCTGTGGTGGCTGTTCTTTGTATTGCTCTGATGGTCTGCCATCAAATTCATGAATACTGTAACAGCAGAGAACATATTATAGAAATTAATCTAAAATGAGTCAATGACATTGCTAAGAAAATGTAATTGGTTTGTGCAAGCTTGGCTGCAGTTAGAAGACATCTTAAAATTGTTTTATTTTAAGGAATAATTGAAACTCATATCTCTCAGGGCTGTTTGCAGAACTGTGGCTTTTCTTTGTCATTTGCCACTGTTAAATAGATCATAAGTGCTTTGCTACAGTAGATAAGGGAAAGGAAGCAGACTTTGCAATTCTTAATGCAGTCGGGACAATCCATTGGCTGATGTGTAAATTAGAAAAGAATCTGCTATGAGTCATGCCCCAGCTTCAGAGATTTTTGAAAAATAGTGTAATTTTCATATTTCAGAAAATGCTAATTTTGTCCACTTGGCAAAGTAGTTGAAAGTCTAGCAATGAATGCTCCTGGTTCCTCTGTGTTTATGTTTTCTGCATACTTACCAAATATTTTAAGCCAGAAAAAATTGCAGGATATCACTTGTGCCTGACAGAAAAGGAAAATCTCTGATGAGGGATCTCCCCAGTGATATGTTCTGCCTCTGGACTGGAGGTTATCAAGCCCCTGGGAAGGTCAATGAAGGAGAGAAAACAAATCTGCACTCCAGCTACTCTCGCTTTGCCTCCCTGGTAATCCGTGTTGGGAACCCCCTGTGGGACAAGGCATTATCAATCACCTTGAAGTATTTATAGAGGAGAGTTGTCAGGACCCCCAGTTCACATTACATAGAGCTGCTGGTTGGGAAGATCTCCCAAACAAGTCCTTTTCAATTGCTAATAGGCATCTGATGTTTCTTTATGCAGTTGGAGAGCTTCATCACGCAGATTGTTTGCATATATTCTGAATCTGAAAAGTAATTCACTTATTTGCAGTAGTCTCGGACAAAGCTTTGAAAAACATGCCCAACGACAGCTTCAGGAATGTCTTAGTTTTGCCTGAGTTAGATCTTGTTAAAGACTTCCTTAAAGAATGAAATCTCATTACTTAAAGCCCAGTTGGTTTTGCATGGTAATACAAGATACAAATTCAGTAATGTTGAATTTTTTGTAGAACTCTATCCTTTTCCAAAAAAAAAAAAAAAGGGCAGTAGGAGCACTCAAAGTAAGGCAACAATTATTTAAAAGAAATATGAATTTGGCCTAGCAGTAAAAAAATAATGTTGAAGCCACTAATGGTAATGTGAAAGTCAGAATCTGGACTTTGCCAGGATTGTTGAGTTTAATCATCCATATAAACTGGTTCCGAGTTTGGCCATGGTTTCCCTGCAGCTCTGTAATATTTGGTCTGGTTCTCTATCATGCAACTCCAGCACTGTGAAAAGAGCCCAGAATAAGAGTAAGTTACATTTGTTTATATTTTAAGGTCCTTTACACTGCCAGATTTGTTAGCATTAATGAGAACCAGTGTTTATTTTCTTCTTGTTGTCAACTTTGTCCTGTCTTTTATATATTACTTTAAATTGATTTAAATCTCTTTCCCAGCAAGGTGAAGAGAAGCTGTAAACTTGGAGAATACAAAACACCACCATAAATGTGTCAAAAATAGTTTAGAGAGTGCTGTTTCCTTTGTTTTTCCGAACAAACAGGAATTTTAAACTGTGCGAAGTCCACAAGTTGATGCCAGATGCGCTTCCTAACTTTGGCATGAGACTCAAGTACAAATACTTAAAAAAACAAAAACCACCTCAATTACAGCTGCATGAAACTCTGAAGGGCTGTAGTCAGGAACCAAAACATTACATTTTCATAGATTAACTTATTAGCTATAAAAAACTTATGGGTCATTTTCCAGTTAGGAATTTTGATGGATGGTTTTGAACAGTACCAGGACTTTGCTGTTGACTATGCAAGCAGGTATTTTTGTACATATGCTTACGTGACAAAGCACTGAATTCTGTTTTGTGAGGAGGTAATGATTACAATGAAGAGCTTTGTCCAAAACCAACTGAATTGGACATAAGATGTTACTCATTTCATTGGTTGTGGGTCAAGCTTTTGGTAACAGATAGTGGAAATCACTTTCTTGCAGATGTTATTAAACAAACTTGTTTGCAAGGCACTGAGAAGGAATGAAGGAGTGACTTCTGTAGAACGCTTAAATGCAGGCACTGACTTGAAAAGGCTCTTGTCTCACACTTAAGTAACTATTCACTAACAAAACAAATATTGTTATTTCCTTGCCAACTGCAAGGTCAGGTATTGCACATACCATTTAAACACTTATGGTGACAATTAGAAAGACTTTGGGGGCCTGGAGGAACTTTCCCAAACCATCCCTGTGTGCATGCCCAAGCCGTGTCAGCACCCACATCCCTTTAGTCATTGGCAAGATTGGCATTCTGGTGCGCACCACCTGAAGACCTCGGTACATGAAGTGTCAAACTACAAGGTATCAAAAGCTGAAGCTCTAGCTCTGATTCTGTAATCAGCACTCTTTCTCCCACTCGCCTTCTTGTATAATAACCTACTAGGTAGCAGATTTGCTTAAAAAATGTCAGGGTATCTGCTGCAGGGAGGAAGAGAGGCCTCCCGACGAGCAGCAGTGGGAGTGATTCGAGCTCTGGAGAGGCACCTATCTCTTCTGCTGCAAGAGAGGAGAGTTTCAAATACATACCCAGTTGGTGTAGTATTTACTGTAAAGTGCTCCTACAAGTCTCTAATTCCTGCAGAAAAATATGAGACTATGGTGAGTGGCTATGAATTTTGGAGTCAGATGCCTAGCAGTGTAGCCTTATGAAGAAAAAGTGATGTCAGTCCAAGCACATGTACTGCCTAAATTTGAAAGAGATTCAAGTTAGACAAAGACATGTGCACTAGGAGACTGAGAAGGTGTTTGGAGTGTGATTATGATTTTCTTTGGGGTTGTAGCACTTGGCTGATGATTAGGTTTTTACAGATCCAGTTAATGCCATAACAGTCAGAGTACATGTGCTCTTTTCAAGGGACTTCCTACTGGCTGTGCAGTGACTTGAAGCTTGCACTTACACCCTACTGCAGACACGTGTTCATGTTTAAGGTCAAGAGTGTATTGGAATGCTTTTTCCTTAATGATGCATGCAATGTCTGAGTGCTTATCATGGTCTATGCTCTGGAAGAGGTGGTTTTTCCAGACCCAGCATTTGCTTTTAGGAAAAAAAAAAAGGCTTGTTTTTGTTTTTTAAAAAACATTTGTAATTCAAATGTGGAACCTGGGAATTAGCAAATGTCATTTGAATGCAATGGGACAGATGTGCTTGTCCTCCCTGCATCCTGCACTTTTACTTTCCCTTACTGGAGGTAGAGTTTATTACCAACATAGCATCTAAGCCTCAGATAAAAGAACTCCCTTGCCCCGTCACATGGTATAAGATAATTTGCTGTAATGACTGCTGTTGTTATTCTTCGCAGAATCCCTAAATGGATCTTGGAAAGAAGGAGGATTTGTGCCTTCTAGCACCAGCAGTAGTGGATACTGGAGCTGGAACGCTCCCAGTGATCAGTCCAACCCATCTACCCCATCTCCGCCTCTGTCAGCTGATAGTTTCAAAGCTTTCCGAACACCTTCCCAGCCAGATGATGGCATTGACGAAGCTGAAACAAGCAACCTTCTCTTTGATGAACCCATTCCTAGGAAGAGAAAGGTTAGCCTCATGTTAAATTCTGTATAAGTAGGCAAGGTGAGTGTTGTTAGGCTTCCTTTGCTGTGAAACAGGAATAAATAGCTCAAGCAGCTCTTTGGACAGATCCCTCCTTAGCATCCAGCTAACGGAGGTACTCAGCCTAGTCACTGTGCCTCCTTGAACCCAGTCACATGCTGCCATCAGCACCACATTTGCTGGCAGATGGTAAGGTTCTGCAGAGCCTCCTGCTCACAGAACAGTAAAGCCATTTCCAGAAGGTGCTGCCTCTGGCCATTCAAGGGATTTCTATCCTACTTTGGCAAATTCTTTGCGTGCAGGATGCAACAGGCAGCCTCTACATGTCGTTGCGAAGGCTGCATATGGCTTTATTACTTGTTCCCTGAGAGTGCTGCCAGTCTGACAGCATGTCAGATATCTTAATACTGTGAGGCGTTCTCTGCTTAAACATATGGGGTGAAAAAAGGAGAGAGGGAGTCAAACCTGATGGCTTATGATACACTATTAGCAGTGGCCAAATTTATCCTTGGTAGGAGACCAAAGTGCAATAAATAAAACACAGTGTAAAAAAATCCAAAACGGAACCCAAAAAAGCACCATTATGCTAACAAGCAAGCTCCTCTCGAACAAAAAGAAAACAAAGAGATGGCACTAGTCCAAGTTTTCCTCCCTTCTAACACAACAGGACAGATTTTACATAGCAAGATGAAAAAGAGCTTTCTGTGAGGAGGAAAAAAACAGAATTTATTCCTCCTTAAAGACTTTGTTTCTGGCTCAGCCTGAGAGAGTTAATTTTTTCACCACCAGCAGGAAGAAGTTTTATTGATTGTTTCAACTTGTTCAGATTTATCATTTTTGCTCCAGAAGTTGAGCAACTGAAATGAGAAATGAGCAACTTCTGGAGCAAAAATCATAGAATCATAGAATGACCCACACATTTGATGACCCACACAGCTCTGCCCTTGTTTGTGTGAAAGGGATGTAAAATGCCTTTGCCTGATACTAAAAATAATATATACACATTTGTTACAAGAAAGAAAAAGAGCTGAATGTTAAACAGAAGAAGAGGGGGTTGGGTGAGGGTGCAGGATGGAAAGGGTAAGAACACAGAAGTGATTTGCCTTTTACTTCTCAGTTAAAGTTACGGTTGCTGTCATCATTCTTATTGTTCAGCTGTGATTAGACAGATGGTTTTACAGCTGCCATCTTTATTGTTATGTAAGTTGTCTTTAAATACTTCTACTTACATAGTATCCACAGATATATTAGAGTGCCTGTTCTGGTTCTCATGGATTTTGCTTTGTATGGCAAATTTTTAGTTTAGGTGAATAGTAATATTACTTGCCATACAATATCAAAGCCAGATATTGTATCTGAGTATGACCTTGTACCTTTAGAAACTGGAAAAAAAAATGTTCAGGTTATTTCTTCTCTAGGGGCCGTAAAATCAGAAGTCATAAGTACAGGAATAGAGTGAATGGGGACTTCAGTTGATTCATGTGAAGTTTATTCTGTTCCATGTTTGGAAACAGCTACTTCCCATTGAGAAAGTTAAATGATTAAATGTTTAAATTAATGCAATTTCTCACCAAATCATTTTGTTCTGTTTGCTATAATAACACATTAAAGCCCATTTAGGCATTTTTTTGACCAGTCAGGAACGATAGCAAAGTTCATGATCTCTGTTTCTACTCTGTGAGATTTCATTTGGTTGATTTGGAATAATTGTGGGTTTTTTTCAGAACTCCTAGCATTGATAATAGAACTAAAAGGACAAGAGATATCTAATTTGACAGTAAAACAATCTGCTATGGATAATAAACATTCTGGGTCCCTAAAGATACATGTAGGCTTCATAAGACATATTAGAATTTCAGATCAAGCAATTGTGAAGGAAATTCATGTCCAATTTATGCTAAGGTGGAAGGTTTTTTTAGAAACAGTACTGATTGATGATCAAGTATCTCAAGTAATGAAGCACTTGGCATATATTTTTCAAACATGAGTTGTTAGATTGCCAAGTAACTGTTTGCACATGTTACTACAATCAGCTTGTATTTGAAGAAATTGAGATCAATTGAAATGTTTTAATATTATTCTAACTGTTGTTTCTGTAGCAAGTGCTGAAACTCGTCATATGTTAGCATGGGGTTCTATAGGGTCCACAGTCAATAAGCATTGAGTTTGATTCTATTATAGACAGTATCTTAACATGTACCTAAGTATCTTCATTTAATCTTATTCTTAACTAAAATTATGCGATCGTATTTTGAATATTTTCTTTGCTAATGTGTGTTCTGTACTAGCAGAGAAAAAGGACAAAATTTAAATTTGAATAACATGAGTTAAGTAGTTAGGTTTTTGACTTTTTTTAGCAGAGAAAAAGGACAAAATTTAAATTTGAATAACATGAGTTAAGTAGTTAGGTTTTTGAAAAGTATATATACAATTTGTTAAAATCAATTATGTTTGCTGTCACATGCTGTGCTTTGAATCAGATTATTGATTAGTTTGCTCCAGGCTTTTTCAAAATATTGAGGGTGAAACTGACTACGGCCTTGTTTTCTGCAATTTGAATCAATGATAACTCTGTTTAGGCCAGTTGAGCTACCTGTGCAAAAGACTATTACACTGAGAGTATACACACACATTCTTTAAAAAAAGTCCAAAAAATTTCCAAGTGAAATTCCTATGTCTAAGTGAGGGTCATGGGAACTTCTGAATGTAACAAAAGTAGGTTTTGCCTGCTCTTTGGGTGAATATTGTCTGTTGTCATAGCAGAAGCTACAGATTTATGACACAGTATCTTTTCTGTGTTGGGAATTCATAAGCAAAAATAGCCTTTGGAGCATACTGTTTGCTTTAGGAGGATATCCTGTGTTAAGTGGGAAGCCCCAAACAGCCGTTACTTGAGAATGAGACTCCAAATGCCTACTGAATGTTTTTATGTCATCTAGATCCTTTTATAGGAAGATAGAAATTGATACTTGCCAAGTAAAAAGGCATGGAAAAGATTAGAGAGAGGTAAATTCTTGGCACGAGCTGCTCCTGTTAAGTTCAAAAAGATTATACTGTAGCAGATATACTGCATGATTATATAGTCAGATTTAGAGGCTCTGGACTTGGGCTGGTCTCAAGTATAGATAAAATTGTTCGTAACTGTATATCTGTTTTGATTTGGTTTGGTTTTCTTCCTCTGTGCAACTAAGAAGACTATGTTGTTTTACTTGCAATTTTCAGAACTCAATGAAGGTGATGTTCAAATGCTTGTGGAAGAACTGCGGAAAGGTACTGAGCACAGCTGCAGGGATTCAGAAACACATACGGACTATTCACCTTGGGTAAGAGGCCACTGCCTTCAGAAGTTTGTAGGATCTGGCAGAGAGTGGAAAAAGTCCTCCTTTGCCAGGGACATGTGCTATCTTGGTTCTTTCCTTCTCAGATTTCTCAGTTTCTGATGAAATGGCAGGGCAATGCATTGAGGTGAAGAGGAATCCATTCCAAGTGCAGGATACTTTATATTCACTTATGAACTTGTTTGAGCCTCACGAGGAGGTCAAATACTGCACTCCCCTGAGGGCACTGCAGCCCTGCAGCGCTGGGCAGCTAGGCATTTTTGCTAAGTGTGAGCTTGCTGTGTGTCACATCCACACTGAGGCTGTGGGAAATGTGGCAGGTGTCAAGGCCCTCTGTGAGCACTTTCCAGCTCTGTTTCACATTGGGTTGGATTCTGAGTAAAACTAACTCAAAAAACAGAAAATGACATAGCTGCCATTTCCATATGTGTGTTTACCTGGGCCAGAAGCAAGAGCTAATCAGTTTTATGTGATACAAGGCGTCTTTCTTTTTTTCTTTTTTTTTTTTTCAGAATTCTAGTTTGTAACTAAAAACTCCAGTGAAATTCAGGGAGTGAACTAGCCCTCTAATCCATACTTACAACAGGGATTCATGCTGCTCTTGAGAGAGCAGTCTGGGAGTCCATATCAGGGAAATGGAGAAAGGAGGGGTGTCCAGGTGTTGGTTTGCATGCCTGTGTATTCTTTGAGATTTTTTTCTCACTTCCTCTTCTCTGCTCCCCCTCGCCTGTTAGACATGTGGAAATGTGTCTCTATTCTATAAGTCTCTGTTATCCAGAGTTTAAAAATTGAAGTGACCAGGAGGAAGAAAGAATTCTGGTATGGAGCTCAAGAAAGTCTTGCAAAGATGGTAGTAATTGATATTAGACTTAGGGTCTGAAGAATGAGGCTTTGAGCAATAGAGAAAATAACTTATAAATTTTACTCCTTGTCCTTTTTATGGGTTGGGCAAAGAGGGAGAAGAATGAATGGCAAAATTTCACTAGAAAGTGGAACTCGTAACTTTGCTAGAGAGAGAATTTTTGCTGAAGGACTTGGTTCAGTCCAGCGGAACAGTTTTATTAGAGCCATTCAGACCTACTGAAGCCAAGCCATGCTCCCTCAGTGAGTTCTATTGAATAATTGTTGGCTAGAGGACCACAGCTAAAGATGTACGTGGGCAAGCAGGCTGTGAAAACCTGCAGAGGTGAATGCCAGGAAAAGCAGAGATGTCATGTGGCAGCATCCCACCTTGCTAGGTACATGTGGACAGGAGGACCCCTCCCATATTTCTCATGTGCAAGATGCAGGACAAAAATGTGTGTTTTTGAGCTACGTGAGTTATATTTGTAAGTCATGTGGGTGGGGAATGTGGGTTAGTGTGTAGCCTACTGGGAATCACCATTCTGGTAGTCCTTATGTGTCCTTTCTCTGCGTCCGAATGGGTTGTATGCTGAGACTGCTCTCTAGCAAGCTTTTTTGTTTGTGCTAAATAAAGTTACAGTGAACCATAACCGTGACTATGTTTAGTTAGTAACCTGTGATGAGATTACATGTTATTTGCTGCTGTATTCCTGAAGAATATCTTGTCCATGTTTGCTATCTTTACCCGTATCTCTGTGGCTGCTTTATCATTTCTGAAGTCAAAGTGCTTTGAAATTCTTGCTAGCTTCAATAGTAAGAGAGTAAGAGATATAGAGAAGCAACTATTTGTGGAAATTTCACCTCCAAGCACAGAAGTTAAATATCTAGTCCAAGGTCAAAGGACGAATCAAGAATGACACAGAGAAAAGAAATCTACTTCCTACGTTTTTCTGCAAAGACTAGATGATTTTCTTTTCTTCTCCCCTTCCCTGCAGTCAGAATGCTGATAAAGCATGTAGGATTGAAACTGGGAATATTAATTTATTGACAGTATGAATAAGGTTGCTCATGTTAAAATTCACCTTAAGGTTCTTGCTTTCATTTAGTCAATCCTTTATTCTTTGTCTTGAAACAGACGTGTAGGGGAGTCTGACTACAGCGATGGAGAGGAGGATTTTTACTACACAGAAATCAGGCTCAATACGGACTCAGTAGCTGATGGCTTAAGCAGTCTTTCTCCAGTGTCTTCGTCTTTAGCATCTCCTCCTTCCTTTCCCACCCAAGATGCAATCCGTCCTGAAACACCCTGTGCCAAAACTGAGACTAAATTGATGACACCTCTGAGCCGCTCAGCTCCTACCAACCTCTACCTCGTACACACGGACCACGCTTACCAGGTAATGCTAGTGAGAGGGAACTGCATTGGTCATACTGACCTCATTAATATGTTAACAAATGCCTAATGATTATGCTCTTATTTTAAAAAGCAAAGTCTATTTTCAGTGATTAACAAGGTTTGTGGGACAGCTGAAGGGTTCATTTCACTTAAATTGAGATGTCCCCTTCCAGGCTAGTTGTTTATGGACTTAGTGGTCCATAAACAGTGGACTTAGGACTTTAACCAGTGGACTTGGTGCTATTTTTCCAACCACACACTGGAGCTTATTTCAGGTTGAAAGGATTGCTCTGTACTATATTCCACTGACTAAATCTGCAGTATAGTCCACTAAATCAGGTAATTCTCCATTGACTGCAAGGAAATACATGCTCAGATGTAGTCTTCTGTGTTGTAAACAGATACATTTGGTCAACTGAATCCCTTCCAGAGTTTTAGTTTCAGCCCCACTTGTGCTGGATCTTTCTGTAGGAAAATTCCCAAGGAATGCCAGGAACAATTAATTTCCATTGCTTGTACAGTGTAAGATGTCTGTTTGCATATGTGAAGTAGAGCAGGAAAAATGAAAAAGCATACAAGGTATCCTCCTACTCTTAGAGGTAAAATGCAAATGGCGAAAAGCCAATCAGATCCGAGGTGCTGTTTCAAACATTTCCAAACTAAGTTCAGATGGAAAGCATTAATTGTAAAAGTGCAGTAAAATTTGACATATTTTGGTCTGGATACCATATGAGAAAAGAAGAACGGAGACTTTGAAGTAGTATGGTCCATGACCTGCTCATGAACTCTTAAAATTTATCAGACACAACTGACCTGCTCATGCACCAGAGAAATGAACTCTTAAAATTTATCAGACACAATAACCATCACATACAGCATTGTGTACAGTATTTCAGGTGTACAACAAAAATGTTTAGACTTTTTAAGAGGACAAAGAATTCACAGGCTTGTTTTAAGCTCCCAGGAACTGCAGAGGGCATGGCTGGAGTTTAGCAGCTTTGATGGGAGCCGCAGCAGGTAGCCCGTCAACCTGGGGCCTGCTGGAGGGCGGAGGGCTCTGTGCTCTGTCTCTCAGAGAACGAGGCACCAACTCCAGGCTGCTGGGAAGTATCTCAGGCTTGAAACTCTTCCCTGGAATTTGGGCACTCACTTCTTTCACAGAGGAAGGGAGAAGAAAATGCCACCCCTTCCCCTTTTTTCTTTTTTTTTTTCTTTTTTTTTTCAGCTTTTTGGTAACGCACTTGATGAAGGAATTCCCAATTCAGATGTTTCAGCAGTTTGAAATGGATTTGGATTGAGGTGTCCCATGAGATGAGACTGCATGTGCTTGAGCCCTAGCCATTACATTTAATCAGAGAAAAGTGACTATGCCTATAGTCACTGTATAAAACATTCATGTTGGCAGAGGGGGACATCGATTCCTCCTCTAGTTAACATTTAGGTTGTCCTCGCAAAACAGAGCAGCTTCCATGGAGAGGGTCAGTGAAAGCCTATGTCAGGAGCCCTTTAGCTCCACAAGCTAGTTATTTCAGTGGGACTCGAGGCAAAATGAAATCTTAAGGAACTTAACTTAGGTAAGGGAGATCAGATAATGTCCATCCCAAAATTCCTACTAAAATAGAAAAAAAAATATGTGAAAGCCAAGGCTGGGTCACAAAAATCCTGCACAAATTTGTTAATTTGTATTTCCAATATGATTGGAAAATGGCAAATATGAGACTTGAAGTAAGAAAGGAGTAAGGGAGAAATGAACAAACAAGTCTTGTCTTTTTTTGTCCGATGAAGTGATATGGTTGAGAAAAGATTTCAGGTGAATAATTTGAAGGAACTGTGCTAAGTAAGTAAAAAAAATGAATGACAGTGGAGGAAAACCAAAGAGAGATTATGCTAGAGCAATCAAGATCAGTCGAGGATAGCATGGCTGTCTGTGAAGAGAGGACAAACACGAGAAGAGGGAAAAGAGAATCAAATGCTATTTCTTAAAAGGATAATGTTGGTGTACGAACAAATAATTATCAAATGGCCATGAATATAAGTAGACTGAAGATTACGTGGAGATTTCTGAATGTGTAGGTGCTGTGGAAAGGTTAAGCATCATGGTGTTTATTTCGCATGTTATTTTGAAACTAGTGTCTGTACCTCTTAAATTGATCTACAGATCAGGTGTAGATGGCCACTTTCAGCACGGAGGGCCTTGTAGCTCTCACTGAAATGCTTGATGAAGTAGCCATGTTGACCCTGGCTTTGAACTAGCATCCCAGTGGGATGCTGAATGGAGGCTCTGCCTCGCTTCCTACCAAGCTGCCAGGAGCTGTTTCTGGCAGGCATGCCCTGATCTTTCACTGGATCCCACTTGCAGGGGGCTGTGGTCAACTCTACTGGTACCATCTGGAGCTGCTATTTTTTAATCCGTGCCTTTCAGTGAGGTCCCTGTGTTTTAGGTGGACATTTGCTTCCCAGAGAAGGTCGTGTGTCAGTATGGATTCTCCCAGAGCTGTCTGCAGGCCCAACAGCACAGCATGTTCTGTGAACAACCACTCAGTGCTCCTGGTTTCTTTACCTTGGAGAGACTCCAGGGAATTGCTTCAGCTCTTGTTTACCCTGAAGATTATCTTTAAATGGGGACCATCAGACTGTAGTTTGTCATCACTCCTACTTCATGCAGCTGTTCGAGGAAGCAGTCTGTTCTGTGAAGCAGAGCGACAACTTGAGCAGTCTTGAACACAAACAATTCTTAAATAAATGTATCGTGTTATTGTAAGGCACAGGCAACTGAGGGATGGAAGGAAAGCGCATTCTTGAGAGCAAGTTCACTGTAAATCTAAACTAAGAAGTGTTTTTTGTGGTAAGAGCTTGACTCGTAAAAGCTGAAAGGAAGCCCATTCTGCTCATGCTGGCTGCTCATACTCCTGCTAAGTAGGATAAGTGCAAAGTTATGAACTTCCTGACTGCTAAATAAAAACAAAAAAATCTGTGTTCTAAAAGATGTGCTGTGAAAGAAAGGAAAGAAGGAGGAGGGCTCAGAGCCCAGTGAGGATGCTTGGGAAAGACGTTAGATGAAAGATGCTCAGTGATCTGATCATGGTATTACAGCCAAGATGGAAAGAAAATAAGAGTTCTGAGTAGCATAGCAGTTTTCAAATTTTTGATTTAGCTTGGTCTTTTAAGAGCTACTGCTGTATTTCTATTAGGGAAGGCTAATTTAATTAGGATATTTTTAAAGTGTATTTATATGGTAAATAGAAATTGGTCAAGTGTTTCTGATTGTTAAACCTATTGTCCCCAAACCCTCTCCATCCAATTTTTAGTTAGTGAAACCAGTTGCCATCAGCTTCCTTGTTTGCCATTGTGGAGCAGTAGACCATTTGTAATATTTTTTTTCTGCTTTCTGACCTTTTTTTTTTTTTTTTTACTCAAGTGTGTAATAAGTATGTAGCTGATGATGTTCTGACAAGGGCACAGCTATTCCAGGTTTCCATGGGAGTTATATGGGATTCTTTTTACTGGAATAATATTTTCTTTCCAAACAGGCCACTCCTCCGGTGAACATTCCAGGGTCAACAAAATTCACTCCTAATGGCAGTAGCTTTAGCATCTCTTGGCAGTCGCCTCCAGTTACCTTCACCGGCATTCCAGTAAGTCAATGACAAATAAAAAGAAAAACAAAGTTTTTAGAACTTTTGTTTTGTTTTTCACAGTAATTCTCTTGTAATAGATATAAAGTTCACGTATCAGGTACAGAAGAAATCAGATTAACTGTATGCCCCAGTTTACCTGTGTGACTGATTTTAACATTTCTTTGCTGGTCTCTTGAGCTCCGTGTAGTTTTCCTTCCTCCCTTCCTCGCTCCCTCCCTTCCTTTCTCCCTTCCTCAGAATTGGAAATATATATGTATGTATGTATTTATGTATTTTTAAAGCTATATACTTGCAAAGGAACATTCTGTTAGACACAGAGCCTGACCCAGCATACCCCTTTGTTGTGCCAGTAAACATTACTGGAAAAACTTATCAGCAAGGTGATGGTTAAGCAAAGGAACATTCTGGTAGACACAGAGCCTGACCCAACATACCCCTTTGTTATGCCAGTAAACATTACTGAAAAAACTTATCAGCAAGGTGATGGTTAATGCTATCAGGCTAACTGGGATCAGGCAGTAATGCTGGTATGCAGCTCTGAACTCTGGAAGCAAAGTACATTTGAAAGGCAGCGGGAAGGAACAGTAAAATGAAATGGTAACTCTCGTTCCAGGAGGCTGCATACATGAAGCTTCTTTCAACAGCAGACATTTCTCTACTTTTTTTACAGCAGATACGCATTTAATTCATACCATATTTTGATAGTACTGCATATTACGGTTTGCTAACTTTTGAATGAAGTGTTAGATATAAGTGTTATATTTCAGCTTTGACATCTTATCCAGAAAAACTAGTGTACAGGGCCTAATTTCACAAACAGGACTGCAGAGATAGAATGTTTACTTAAGTACAGACTTATCATAATCTTAAATATAATAAAACAATATTGCTATGGCTATGGTAATGGCAGTTAAAAACTTTTCTGAGGAGTTCAGAGGGATTAGATGTATGGTAGATGTTAATGATGAATGTAACTCATTACTTTTCAGTAGTGGAAAATCTTCTGCATAATAAATAGAAATAAATATGCGTAGGATATATCCTGTTTCTTATTGGAAAACATTTTTCAGCATATCAGTGATTGTTCTCTGACTATAAGCCTGCTTGATATCATAGCCTTTCATTTAAAATTACACTTTATGAATTCTTAACAGTGTGTTACGTAAGGCACATTACTTGTCCAAAGAACCATATAGCTTTTTTTCCTCCTGACGGTGAATATTCGACATGATGATTACAGATACTATTTCCCTCTCTTTTCTTCACCAAGTGAATCTCTAAAGCTTCTTACTGTCAACCTTTGGCAAATCTTGGAGATTTTCTGCAGAGGCTGTTGTATCCTGCAGGGCTGATAAAAAATGAGAGTGACTGAATCAATTACACTGCGCCCTGCCAATGAATATTTATTAAATTCCATCAAGGAACAACTAGCAGTGAAGGACATCATGCTGGCAGCAATTTGAACAAGAGCGCCCTGGCGGAGCACACCGTCCATGCGGTTCCCTGAGAATTTGATTTCACAACAATGGGGTTGATACTGAGTGATTATGAAACTGGCTCCTTTTGTGGAGCAGCGGAAATTGGTGCCAATAGTGCTGGGAATCTAAAAATGCAATTAGCAACATTGTAAATCAGCAACGGAAGAGGGCAGAATTAGACACATAGGTGTTGAGTTGACCTGTTCAAGCAGTAACATCGATCTGTAGCTACAGAATTGAGAGTTCTCAGAAGAATTTAAGAAACGCTAAATCACTTTCTAAGAATTATATCAAGATGCCAGTGCTTTAAGTACAATCTAAGAATAATCCCAATATGAAAATATGGAAAGCAGTGATGACAGCAGAATTAGCTATCCCTGGTAGCTTGGAGAGCCATATAAGCAGTTTTTATATCTGTGTCTAACAACATTTGTAAGGCTGTTTAGCTAAAAAAAATCATCAGAATCTAAGTTCTCACACATTTCACTATTCTGTCACCTGTGAGGTCATTTAAGAATTACAAAGGCTTGCCTTCAATAGGAAACTAAGTGCAGTGAGGGGTGTAAATGCAAAATTATATTAAATCACTGAATTTTAAATGCGTGTTACATCTCTCCAGTTTCAAAGGGCACTGTCCTTCCCAGCTGTACACTGAGTGCAATAACTTCTGAACAGTAGGGAAGTTGTGCTGGATAGTGGACCACGTCCTCCTCCTCACCTGAGGTTTGCCTATCCTCAGCAGGCTGTAAGCTCCCGCCCTGAGCACAGAGCATGAGATTCTTTGTGTTGATATTCCCTGGCGTTAGAGGCATGGCCGTAGCAATGATGGGGAATTGAGAGAGCAAGGGTGAACAGCTCTGCTTGCAACATTCTTCTTTTGTTTTTGTTTTTTTTGACACCCATCTTTGGTGCCTCCCCATCATGACTGCAGACCTTGAATCCTGGTGACACTGAGCTCTGCCCTCTTGCTGTCCAAGGAATGTGGGTGTTCAGGCACATGTTGTGAATTCCATTAAGTCCTCAGTTCTGGGCAGTCTTTAGTAGGGCAACACATCAGTGCCTTCGAGAATGTTGCATGAGCTTCTCAGCAAGTCCCTAAACTGCTCTGAACGTGCAGTACCTAAGCAGGAATAAATCAGAGGCAGATTCAATATCAATCAGTCCAGATTAGATTAGGTTAGAAACCATATCAGTTAGCCTAGACAGCTGCTCACAAATACTCATAGCTTCTAACCAGAGATGTTTATTTGAAAGTTTTTAGCTATCGAGTAGGAAAGTTAGGAGTACCTTAAGAGTCCTTAACCTTTGTGCTCTGAGCCATGCACAGGTTATTTCCCACCTACTTTGGGAATTGACGCTTTGTCCTACCCTTCTTCCAGGATAGTTTTACAGGTACAAGAGAAGGTTGACTGTTGGCACAGCCAAGAATCAACACTAGATAAAATTCTGCACATGGAATAGGAAGAGACAGGTTCGTGTCTGTGCTACCACTTGAGAATGAACAGTCTGAAGATGGGGCACAGCTACCTGATGTTGCGACTGCTTGAACAAGGGGCTGGACTAGATGGTCTCCAAAAGTCCCTTTCAACGTCAGCTGTTCATGAAAGGCATGTATGAGGAACTTGAATGAAATGATGCAAGCCATTCTAATGGGGGTGAACAGCGGTGGAGTGTGTCACTTAATCCTGACTGCCCATACAATTCCACTTTTATTAATGTAAGATAGAGCTCGTCTTGCACTCCAGCGTGATCTCTGCTGTGTGTTATTGATACTTATCTGGCTCATGAAAGCCCAAAAGGTTGAAGAGAAGAAATCTTCGGAGTTTTCTTATTTGATATTTACAGATCACAAATCTTCCTTGTAACTAGGGGCAAGGAACTGCCCCTCTAGTTCCTTGCCCCTAGGAACTAAAACTAAGACAGCTAAGCCTTCCATTTTAGCAAACATGTCATTTCACATTAGTTCTCTGCATAGACACCACTGCAAATGTGAAAAGTCTCCAAGGTGAAGGATTGAATTCTCAGGCCCTCATCTTATGCACATGGTACAAAGGAGTATAGCAAGCTAGTGTTTTTTAGACCTGTTGCAAAGGGCATTAAAATCTGCTAAAGCTCAAATTCAGCTCAGTCTCGCCTTCATGGGATGTTAATGCACAGTAACCATACTGTAGAGGCCCTCCCTGGAGTATGTGAGGGGAGACTATCTCAGACAGGGAGCAGTTACTACTCAGCTCAATTCTGCTTTTAGAAGTAATCAGGATAATGCTATGGTGCAATGAGAGCTGAGGAATATGTTGAATAACAGGTGGTAGTGATGGGTATCCAACCTTTGTAGGGGTTAATATGTTTGAGAGCCATAGCAGATTCGACTGAGATCTCTGGTTACTGGTAGCTACTAAAAAACTTTGTAGTGTGTGGTAAATGCCAAAGACTAGGAAAGTGTTACTGCTTTGCTGATATTAAAACACGGAAGCATTTAGCTTCTATGTTTCTATCATTCTTTAGCGAAACAAGGTAAGTAGTTGATAAAGGATAGAAAAATCATGTCAATCAACATGCTTTTATATAAAGCACAATTTGTCAAACAAACCTTATACCACCAGTCTTTAAGGATATTACAGGTTTGGTGAGGAAAGGCAGCTACACAAGTCTAACACACCGATTTTGTAAGGCAGCAGGTATTTCGAATAAAAGTATGCACGTACTAAGAGCACATGCTAAGCAAATTAAGCTCTGACAATCAGACCTGGGGAAGCAGTAGTTAGCTGAGAATCTTCTTTGCTGAGGCAGCATCACCTCCATGGTAGGGCTGATGCTTTTAAGCATTTTCAAAACTGATCTGGGAATAAAAATATAAAGTTAAAACTGATGATCTATTTTCAGGATGACTGAAGGATTGACTGAAACATAGGATAAGCATATATCATTGTATACTTCATTTGTTAAATGGGGCCCTTTTCCAATCAAGTGTTTTAATTGTGCAAAACACATGAAGAAAAGGAACTTAGATAATCCCTGGTGTCTGGTGAGGGACACTGACCTTAAAAGTAAAGACTGCAGAGGATCTGGGGGTTGTTGCAGACAACAGACTGCTCTCAGTATTGAGGAGTGATAGGACAAAAGGAGCTGCTCTGGTCTGTGAATCTATAAAATGAGAATAAGGCAAAGAAAGAGGAAATTTGTTTGAACTTTCAAGTCATGAAATATAGCAGTAATGGTCTGAACTTGTACGGAGTGTTATTAGTGTAAGCTTTACAGGCAGCTAAATCAGAAGCTTCTGTAGTTACTAGTTGAGAGTAACAGTTGAAAGCATGCCTGCTGTTAAAAGTAAAAAAAACAAATGAACAAAAAAAGAAACCCAATTAGAACTGTGGAGTACCCATAAAGTAGATAGTTAAGCTCAAATCACATTTAATAACTGTCTTCAAGTCAGGTTCTTCCTGTTTTTCCAGGAAGATGTTATCGGACTTCAAAAGGTCAGGAGTGAATAGTCATAGTTATACAAGAAACTATGACAGTGTTTGCAATCACTGGCTGCAGCGCACAGTGTGCCTTCCATGCGCCAAAGTTTGCTGTATTTGTCAGCAAGCAAAATAACATTCTGTATATGTCAAAAAAGAGTGTTCCTAAGTATATTTTCTTCCTGCGTATTAGTTGTTAGATGGTTATGGCCTTCACTCGGGAGCAAAATAAGTCCCTTGCAGCAAATAATCCAGGAATTATTTAAGGTCGAGCTTTATGCTTTTTTACCACTTGAATTATGTTGCCTACCCCCGAACTCCTCTAGAAAGCTTATTTGAAAAATTTGAGAGCAACAAAGTACCCTGCGCATTCAGGAACATTCATGGAAGGGAAAACAAGGTGAGGAGGTTTTGAGTGCAGAGAAGAAGAAACTATTTATTTGGGGTACATTTTTTTTGACAGCCTTGATCAGAAGGACCATCTTGCATTCTCATTACCCTGAGAGATGCATTCAAAATGTCCTATAGCAACCTCCCTCTCCAAAGCTGCTATCCTTATAAAGAATACAAAGTCACGTACTAGAGCCACGTGTGAATTCTCTTTATTTCATAGGGAGTTATTGGTACAAATCTTGTAGAACAGGCTGGTGTTTCTTTTCTCCAGCTTTTTTCTCTGCTGGAGAATTGGGAAGGGGTTTAGTAATATCTATTCGGAGTTTACGGAGAGAATGAATGCATGCATTTTCTGCCTTTCCCCAAAACTGAAATAATGCTGGTCTGTATTCTACTTTGCTCTATTTGAATGTTTGAAAGTTCAAAGAAATGAAAAGGAGCTAGTATAAGGTACCTAATGCTAAAAGGATATATTTCCAAATAGATTCCCAGCTTAATGATGCTTGCTTGATATGTAATAACCTTCTCTGGATGTCTTTGCCACCATGCATCATGAATTGCATTTTCTGGAGAATATTCTGTTTACTTGTGATAACCAGCAGAAGCTTTGCTACCACAGAATTAAAAGTGTGTTCATATTGATTCATACTTGTATGTGCTTCATAAGCAGCTTTTTTTGTCTGTATTGACAGGTCTCACCAACTCATAACCGTCCCACAGGGAGTGGAGAGCAGAAACAGTCCCACACAGTTCTTTCATCACCGCCTAGAGTAGCATTTGGCTTGAGGTACGGGACCATTAGCACCCATTGGCTTCAGCAGCTTCAAAACTTAGAGGTTATTTAGTAAACAAGGTTTCAGTGGCCAGAGAACCAGGAGAACTGCAGCACTAAGTGTAACTTCAGTTGACAGGCAGATTCATACTAAAACACTTCAGAATAAGCATTTGAGACCTATTTTCCTTTTCATTTTCAATCAAAGCTAAAGATCTGGGGAACATTGAATTGTTGAGAAATACAAAAGGCAGGCCATGAATAAAACCCCAGGAACTGTGCCAGAAAAATTTGGAATTGAAGTGCAGATCTAAATTAATGGATGTTATCCAGATCCACTGTGCTAGTTTGAAGAATCCTGAGCTTGTGTAGCTTTGCGTTTTTCCCTGAGAGGCCAGGATGTCTTGTTGTGCATCACCATTAACTCAGGGTGGCCCTTGACTTCAGTTAAATTATGAAAACATATCTCATAACAAATTGTGTAAAAGCAAAGCTTTGTGCCTTGCCTTCCTCGATATAGACTACATTCAGTTCTGTTAAAGATAGTCAGAATCAACTTAAGAAAACACTTAGGACCATTTCTCATGGTCCTTGAAGAGACTGCATCCTAAAAAGCTACCAAACTGCAAAAGGAAAATTTTACACTTCTCAGTTTCTTCATGTCTCTTGTATTTACATGTGCTACAAACTGAATTTGTCATCTTCCCAGTTCATGGATTGCGCCCATTAATGAGTGTTCAGGAACCCAGATGTGCTTATGTATGCAGCAGAGTAATGCCCAGATGATTCCCATCCCTCTTTGTGCTGTGCAGTATTTAATACAGATACAAATCAATTTTGTCTCTATTCTTGATTTAAAGATGCCAGGACTAACTTGGGCACTGCTGTTAGGAGCACTGGTCACTCCTTGCAGTTTTGCCTCTCAGCAAGTTTGCTGGTTGGATACACGTTGAATGAAAAAAAAAAACATTTTAACACTTACTTTGGCCATTTTTTAAACTGTTCTTGTGAACTTTAAGTATGTGTTATACGACAGACTACATGAGAGTTGTCTAGCTTTAAAAGCAAATGCTCCCTGCCTTCCTGACTTGGAGGTGGAAGGGAAGGAACACACACGAGTGCGTTGCAGCGGAGGCAAGGCTTAAAGCTTGTTTCTATCAATCACCTGGGCTTTTTTTTTTCAGTCTCTTTACAGGTAAGCTCAAAGTAAACCATGCAGTAAGGACTTAGAAACTTAAGCGTTAAGCAGCTTTCCCCCCCCTTCTACATAGCTGCTGTATGAAATAGAGTGTGTATGAGAGTTAGGCTGCTCGGAGCACGCAAAATATGTGTACCACAGCTCCAAAGCAGAGAGTACTTTGTGTGACATGACATGGACTGCACTGCAGAGCAGACACAATCATCAGTTATGCCTGGGCATTTATGGGGCTAAAGTAAGGTTATTTCTATGTAAGGGTGAGTCACTGGCTGCAGCAAGAGTTGCACATTATTGGGCTGAGCCTTGGAAGAGAGGAGCAGGTCCAGCAGCTGCCACAGAGCCTGCAAGGAGAAGCACGGGTCCCTCAGAGCTGTGCGACCACAGCCACGTGGCCGGTCGCTTCTCGAAAACAAACAAAAATCCCATTGAAAACAGGGGTTCCCTCCATTCTGCACTCTTCACTCACCGCCCTGAGCTCCGGGTGATGCAGCCACACGAGCATTTTGTTAACGAGCTTCCCTTTCTCTCTAACAGGAAGCCTAGAGGGGAGGGGAAAAAATGTCGGAAGGTCTATGGGATGGAGAACAGAGATATGTGGTGCACTGCCTGCCGCTGGAAGAAGGCCTGCCAAAGGTTCATCGACTAGAGACTGGGATTGTGCAGAGGATTTGGGGATGGGGCAGGACAGCAGCAGAACCAGGTTGCTGCAGCTGCACTGTATCACTTCCCGTTTTCCCGTCAGCGATGTGCTGTTTGGTTTTGGTTTATTTTTTTATTTTTGAAGAGCTTTGTATGTCAAAGTGAAGCACTTGTAGCCAAGGAGAAGCACTAATCAAAACCTGTGTGGAGCAATAGAGCAAAAAATAATAAAAAAAAACAAAACGAAGAACATGCAACAAAATTCTGTCTACTAAGTATTGAAACCAGAGCAGCTATTAGTGTTTTTCTGTAAAAGAAAGGAAAAAGTTAATTTTTTGCTAACTCTATGAAACTACTTGCTCCTTTGGACCCTTTTTAACTATTTCAGTCCCTGTGTTGTGAACGTCTGTATTAGCTAAACTGAACAATTCTTCTTTTCCTGGAACGAAGATTTTTTTTTTTTTGAAAGCTTTCTAATAAACACTTCAAAGTTATATAAGCTACAGTTTACTCCACAAGCGCTATACCAAGACTGGAGCCTGCTAAATAATTCTCCCAATATGAATGATCATGGTTATATGGTATTTTTGGAAGGGGGATGTGGGGAGGAGTTGCATTTTTGTTTGTTTGTTTATAGGAGGAAAGTCTGAGTTCACAAGAAGGACAAACAATGTTTCTGGAAGATTTTTAAAACAGACACAGACCAGTAGAGTGAAACAAAATAATTTAAGTACCAAATTGGATTTGGATCCTCTAGAGGAAGAAAAGCAGCAATGGAAAGTCACCAGCAGATGTTGTCACAGCAGAAGTTGAGGGAAGAAATCCACTGATCCTTGATTGAAACCCATAAGAATATAATTGGGGTCCCATAGCTTTTCTTAACCACTGCCCCTTTTTCTAGGGAAGAGTAACAACAGGACCAGCTGATCTATTGCTGCAGAAGCCCTATAAACGCAGCCATTAGGGTTATAAGAAAGGTTTGTTCAGGGACATGATCCAGCCCAGCAGTTCTACTCTTGTTTCCTTTTCTCCTGTTTGAGAGAATGTTGTTAAATTGATGGTTTGCTCAGTTTTGTGTTTTTTTTTTTCATTAGAGTTCCTAACATGTATTATGTACAAAAAAAAATTGCTAGCGAAAAGAAAGTGCCCCCTTTCCACAACATGATCCCAGAAAGAGAAGTACAGCAGCAAAGGAGCAACATATTTATGGTAGAACTACATTCCTTAGCTCATGTTGATGTCTGGGTTGATACGTTTTTATACTGGCAGTACTTGGATAGGTTTGAATACTTTGTATCTTTGTCCAATAGAAAATCCACACCTGAATGCAGAAAGCTGGTATTCTGTTCCAACTGATACAGAATTCCCATTAATTGTTGTTTTACTGCAAAAATAAGATGAGAATTTCTTAGAATATGAATGTGTACCATTAAGCAATCCTTGTCCGTTAAGCAAAACAAGGCACCCAAGAAAACCACCCAAAAGTTCTCCTGTTTTTAGAGGCATGTAGGCTCATTGATTTCTGGATTTCTGTTTCATATCCCCTGAAATTAGGCCAGATTTTAGTTATCCCTTTTTTATTATGTAAGATGCCTACTTCTCACAGAAATAAGGGGACTTTAATTGCCTAAACAGCTTCCTAAACTCTGGTCCAAAGTTGTTTAGAATGCACTCTGAAACCAGTAAAGCAGTGCTAAGCAGTAAAATATATAATAGGAGCTTCTAAAGGATATCTTTTTTTTTCTTTTTGAGCAAGTTAATTGGGCAATCATGCTAGTCCGGTTGCTCACAAATTGTGCAATTTAAATGCACACATGGCCAGATGTGCTTGCAGGCAGCCAGTGACTTGATTTCATGCCCAGTTGTGCTAAGCCGTGTAAAAGGAAAAAAGAAGATAGGCTCTGAAATCTAGTAAGGCCCTGGAATATATATACATACATATGTGTATATAAAAAAAATCTGGGGTTAACAGGGAAGAGAAAGTGGTTTTGTCAGTAACTATAAAAGAAACTAAACTTTGGTGGATATACGTAGCCATTGCTTTATTACCTTTCCCTTCAGTAAAATGTGGGGTTTTCCTTGCATGTTTTATTATTTTAATTTCTGTAGTAAAATACCTTGTAATTAGTAGTAATTAGTAGTAATTTCATCTTAAAACACTGAGTTTGCTGTTTTTGTGTATTTACCTTGGGGGAATGTAGAAAATCGCCTCTGTATTGCCCTAAGCTGTATCGCTGCTGGCTTATCTGCCCCTCCAAAGCAGTCTGAAGGAATGAAGGGGCTTCATTTAGCAGCAGCCCTCTTGCTACAGGTCTTTGGATGTCTGCTCATTTATGTCAATAGACAGAATTGCTCCCTAAGATACAAAAACAGAAGGATCTGTTCTATTAGTTTTGACCACCTACTAGTTATAGAAGTTGCCAGCATTGATATCTGACTTGATATGAACAGCATAGGTCCCATATGTTTTTCTTGGAGTCTTCCTGCTGTAACAACCCCACTTTTCCTACTTCCCCCCCAAAAAAAAATTACCTGGAAAAGGAAATTATTTAAGAAATAGGAATTTTCAGAGGCAATTCTAAAATATGATTATGTTCCAGTTGCTTCTGTGTGAAGTAGCATCTGTTGGGCTTTAAGTACTCTGATCATCTTATTCATAAAATTATTTTCACCCAAGACAACGTGCTTAATTCTCTAGTGCCTTGCACAGGTGTAAGTGAATACACAAGATGCAAAGCAAACATAAACTTTTCCACTGCAATCTGCCTGTTTACAGTCCCTTTTTCTTGATCCCAGTTGTCATTTGTTGTTGCAGAAGGCTGTTGCGGGAGGCCTCTTTGCATGGGCAAGTTGTGCAGAATGCCTTTCTGCTGCATCCCATTGTACAAGTCCCTGGCTACTATGAGCGTTAGCTCTCAGGTGAGGTGTGAATTCCTTGCACCTGCTTTCCGCAACATCCATACCCTTTCTCATCCTTTCTCCACATTTTTTAAGGTGATGAAGCAGCAGCTACACAATGGAAGGCAAAGCTGTAGCAGAGAGTGCTGGTTGGACACGCACTGGAAATGGGTTCCAGCTGTAGGCAGTATCCCAGATGTTGACCCCCTCCCTGTACCAGACCTGTTTTTTTGGTGGTGTTGCTTGCATTCATCCTGCTGCCATGCAACAGTCTGAATGGTTTCCTGTGCTCCGCCACGCGCTGGCACCAGCTGGAGTCAGCTGTAGGTGCAGCCATATGAAGGGATCTTTTTCCCTTGCTCTGTAAATACGTTGCAATGCCGTCTCAAAAACGGACATCAGGAGCTTGCTGACCATGTGAGGAGACGTAACAAATTACCTGTGAGGCTCATCTGCCTTGGTTCAAGCTTCAGAGCAGCATTGGTAGGGAAAAATTATGCTGCTTCTTTTTTAAAAAAATATTTTGATCAGGAAGCTTTGTTAAATCTTATATTTGACTTATATTTATACTTCATTTTTTTATATAGATGGCAGCACTGGAGGTGAGACCTATAAGAGTGTTGGATTTAATCATAGAATCATAGAATCACAGAATGCTTAAGGTTGGAAGGGACCTCTAGAGATCATCTAGTCCAACCCCGCTGCACACGCAGGGACACCTAGAGCACGTGGCACAGGACGGCGTCCAAGCGGGTTTTGAAGATCTCCAGAGAAGGAGACTCCACAACCTCTCTGGGCAGCCTGTTCCAGTGCTCCGTCACCCTCACTGTCAAGAAATTTTTCCTTAAGTTCATGTGGAACTTTTGGTGCTTCAGTTTGTGGCCATTACCTCTAGTTCTGTCGGTGGCCACCACTGAAAAGAGGCCAGCACCATCCTCCTCACTGCCTCCCTTGGGGTACTTACATACACTGATTAGATCCCCTCTCAGCCTTCTCTTCTCCGGGCTGAACAGGCCCAGCTCTCTCAGTCTCTCTATTAGCCATTGCAGAACATCATAGTGCAGATTTTGTTCTAGTCTAAATTCAGAAGAATTATATGACACCTTTATCAAAATAACCGTAAAGGAAGTCACTAGCAAAAACTAATGAAGCTGATGGTTTAGATACAGAAGGTACCTACTAAATGTATGCAGCCACTATCTGCAGGTATTTGAGTCTGAAAAGCTCAATATTAACAACAAAAAAAAAACCACCCAGAATATACAGTTACAGTTAATAGTGCCTGCTTGCACTGTTGTTTTCCATCTGAGACTACAGTACTTTTGCCTAGACCACCATCTCATTCCTGTCGAAGGGAAGATTAAAGAACACTTTATAACTTCATAACTTTTTTGAGTTTATTCAGTGATATATAAAATGCTTCCCCCTGTTCTTTCTGCTTTAAACAGACAGTTTTCAATCAGAATCCAGAAGGACCCTGAAAACAGATGTCAGTCTGTTTCCGATGCCACCAAGCAAAATCATTTTATTGCCTATACTTTTGGCAGAAAAAAAACTTGGTCAGTAAATTCACAATACCCAATGCAAGGAACAATTTAATGTAGTAACAAACCAGTGTTGTGCTTTTTGAAACTCGTCTTAAAACCAAGAACTTTTTTCCTTCAATATTTGACTCGTAAATGTGAGAGAAATTAATTTAGTATTATAAATCTTTGTTTTGCCTTATTGCTTGGGATTCTACACAATATAATACTAATGAGGCAGCATTTCAAGACCAAATCCAAATTCTTGATTGAATTGTGTGCTACGGATATACCCTAATGCTTAAAAATGTTTGAATGTCAATGTTTACTATCTTTGCCAAATAGGAAGTTCAAGATTTCTAACTTGCATTTATGACTAATAGTCTTCAAAAAGATAGCATACTAGATTTTAGAGTTTTTATCTTATTCTATTATGCACTATACCTATATTAGCATATAATGTACAATGTCCAGAGAAACAGAAGTTACTAAAAAGTTTATTAAAAATACCTTGGGAAGACAGCAAAAATGATACAGTTAATATTAATTTCCTCAGGGAAAGTGAGAGGGCTGTAAATGCAGGATGCAGTTCTGTTTGAGTGAAAGATGGTTAAGAGATTTTTCTATTCTAGGCAAACTTTAAAGGACCTCTGTGTTGTTTCTTAAATTATTAAAACTTGAAGGAAGCACTAATTGGTGAAAATGTTTGTACTTTAATATTAAAACTTATTTAGATCCAAATAGGAAAATGACATTTTAACTGAAAAAAATATAGAAAATGAGCTTGAACTGTATGTAATTTTAGTATAAATCAATAGATTTGTATAAAGCTCTTCAGAATGTATTGTAAATATAAATAATTCTTGTTTATACAATTTCTTAATGAAAATATACATTGTCTGTAATTGGATTACTTTTTATCAAATTATATGTAGCCCACAAAAAATAATATAACAATGAGCTATCCTGAAGGTACTGAGTACTCTGCTTTGCAAGATGCTCATTGATATTTAAAAAAAAAAAAGAATGACACCACAAAACCTTTCTCCTATCTGAGAAGATATCAGCTTCAGCAAAACAAAATTAATATACATTTAACTATTATTTGAAGGAATATATGTGCAAGTTCTCAACATTTTCTTCAGTTGTAGGTGAAGAAAATAATTTCTGTCCATACTACTTTCTCTTTATAAAATCTTTTTAATCGTGGCTAGGGGCTCTGTTCCCCAAATTCTTGCATATTTATACTGAAATGA